AAGAGGGATCTTGATTTTCGCACTTGCCGGTTTAGGCTTCTGATTCTGTATAGCTTTAGACTTTTCATTTCATATGCTTATGAAATTTTAGCTCTATCCCACGAACCCCGCTACAAATGAACCGCGTTATCTAATTAAAGCACTACTTTTTTCCTCTCCACAAAAACACACTCTCTAAGGCAACAAGAATGAGATCAAAAGAAAACAGTGAGATTCAGGACAACTGGTGGTCGGCACCTGATTCGCCTATTGAAATGTTGCACAAATTCTCCCAGAAAGCTGTTAAAAGGGCTAGCGATTCATTACAAAGCTCGTATTCGGGCAGCCCGAACCAGAACACACCGAATCCCGAGCATCAAGAAGGGCACAGGCGTACTCATAGTGACTTAACCTCTTCATTACCACGTAGCACGAGCTCGATTAATTTCCAGAAATGGAAATCTCAGGTTCAGAGGGCCCTTTACTGGCGTAGCCGAAGCTTCTGTGAGGATCGACAGTATTTTTCTTTCGACCCTGAAATGCTGGCCAATCAGAAGAGACAGTGGTACAAGATTCAATCAAGAGCATTGGTAAGTTAGGACCCATCTTTTTTTTTTTTCTTTTTTTTTATGTGATTTTGCTATATTGTGTCTTAGATAGACGAATTTTGAGAATCATAAAAAGAATAAGGAAAAAAAAGAAGATTGAGTTTGTCTGTATTAAAATTAAATTTTTTTCAAATGTAGGACCCTGATAAATTTAAAGAACCTGCTTCGTTATTCGAGCACTTCATTATTGTTGGGCTTCGTCCGGATACTAATCTCGAGGTCATCGAGGACACGTGTTTTAACAGAAGAAGGTTTGAACAAGAGATGGAAAGTACAGAAATGTCAGATTTAAGCTCGGCATTAGAGCCTCAGGTTTGCATGATTTACATATAAGATAGTACTCATTAATGATCAATTGAATTGTTGGGTTTTCCGATTTTTTTTTTCCTGATTTTTGTTTAATAGGTACTCTTTAAGTACCCTCCAGGAAAGAAGGTGGCTTTACGTTTGAAGGATCTGGCTTCATTTTGCTTCCCTGGAGGTGTTAAGGTACGTAAAATATCCAACCTGAACGAATGTAATATCATGTTATGGTCGATAAAAATATTGTTACTCGAGCATTTGACATTTTATATCCAATCTTCTTTACATGCTAACTTATGTCTAAATTCAGGCAGGTGTATTGACGAGAACTCCATCACAGAGTGAGCTGAACGAACAACTCTATGGACAGGTACATATTAAGCACACAATACAAATATATCTGGAATTCCTCCTTTTCGACTTATCCTTGTTAAAATTTCTTCAGGGACACCTGTACCGAGATGATTCGTCATTTGTGTTTTCGGTTAAGGTAGGTATCAGAAAAAATAAAATAAAATAAAATAAAAAATCCATTTAGTTAGTCCTTTTTATTTATTTCACACGGTACTTTTGGACAGGTGGCAGATAGCGCAACACTTTACGGTGTGTGCTTACACGTGCAAGAATTTGTTCAGGAGCCACCAGCAATGTCTGAAGTTTCATCGCCTTGTTCAGAATCAGATCCCGACTCTAGCAGATTCCTAGGTTCTGCCCCTCGTTGTTATTGTATATTGACCAAAGTCCCGTTTTTCGAGTTGCACTTTGAGATGTTAAACAGGTTTAGTATAGTATATATCAGCTTTCTCTAAAATGTTCTATCTTCTGTTTTTAAAAGTTAAAACAATACTGTTATTTGTTTTTTTTTGTCGTGTTCACCTTTTGAATGCAGCATCATTGCACAGAAACATCTAAACCGGATTTCTCAATTTGCCAATGATTGTGCTGACTGGATGTCGGTCACGATTCCTGCAGACGATGAGGTGGCACAGTCCACGTGGGACATATGTTCTCCTGTGAGTAGTTGTACACTTGCCTTTGATGATTGTACTTCCGAGAAGTCTGAGAAGATGTCCATTGGTTTGGATCATATCTGCCCTGTGAATGATCAGTTCTCCGAAACATCTTTTAGGTGAGATTCAAAATGTTTTATGATAACCGATTGCTTTGCTACGCGTTGGTTAATAGTAGTTAACCAAAAACAAAAAGAACAAAAACCACCCTTTACTCTTAGTGTAATCATTTTTCACAAAATTATTTTCTTGAAAATACATTGCATGTATTTTTCACAAAAAGCACTTTAAAGGGATATTTCTAATTGTGAGAGATAAACAGAGGATTCTGTTATGTGCCTGTATTTACTCTTTTGGCAATATTCTCTCTGCTTGTTCATTTTTCTATATTTCTCGTTAATGTGTAACTTCCATTTCGCAGTTCAGCTGTAAGTACAGCATCGGACGAGGAGGTTGATGAGATATTTTATGATTATGCTAAAAATGTCGCGTATGATATTAGAATGGTGAGCTTAAGCTGTAATTGCTTTTCTCATTTTTCTTTTCATATTCACTTCTTGCTACCGATTTACTAGTT